CAATGATGATATTATCCCTCACAAGTCAGAACAGTATCTTACTATCTCTTGTTAAACATATTAATTTACCAGTTACTACCAGGTTACCATTATCAGTTACTATGGACTCAAATACTAATATACTATATTAAGCAAACAGTTCAGAGGAAAAGGTTAACTATAAATGCAAATCGAATCATGAAACATCTAGAAATTGTTACTTAATATAATGCATCACACAGGACATGTTTCTCCAGGCAAGGTGCAAGTACTGAAACACTGTAATATAAAGTTATTTGTATTGAAAACTGAGAGCTCCATCTCGCAATGGCGCATCAGAGCTTAGCTAGAGACGCATACGCAAACCAATTAACCAAGCAGAACAGCGACGAGACCAGTCAGAAAAGGACTCGAATGCTCACGATGTGGTCGAGGTGGGCGTGGGTGATGAAGAGGTGGTCCTGTCGCACGGCGAAGAGCGGGCCCCGGCCGATGTCGAAGGCGACGTTGAGGGACGGCACGGTGACGCAGGTCTCGTGCCCGCCCACCGAGATCCCCTCGACGGCGTACCCCTCCGCCTCCACGCCCTTGCGCTGCACCTGGGCGCGCGCGCGGCGGTACTCCTCCTCGTCGGTGAGCGCCCGGTCGAGCACCGAGAGCAGCCCGCTCCCCGCGCCCCCGCCGGGCCCGGAGACGGTGGAGGCGGCCGCCTTCTTCGAGGCGAGCGTCCGGAAGCGGGAGGCCGTGCCGGGGGTGGGGGAGAGGAGGCGGCGGCGGGTGAGGCGGAGCGGGGCGAGGGAGAAGAGGGAGGTAGTGGTCGCCATTTCGGCGTCTGGCTGGTGCTTGGACGGGACGAACGGTGGCGACGGTGCCGGGGGTTTGGGGGTTTTGCTGTGCTCCGGTCGAGGATAACGAGACGATTTCGCGCTGGAGCCCCTGCCTTGTTGCGATATTATTTTCGTCTAATTTGTCCTAAATACCTTTGGTTTGAACTGAATTACTCCCTCCGATCCAAATTAATTGTTGCTGGTTTAGTATAACTTTGTATCATTTTTAAGTAACACGTCAAGAGTGGCACGGTTCCTCAATTTCATATAAAAGAATATAGTTATCCAGTTAATTAGAAAAGTCAGGCGAAAACCAGATACAAATGGCACCAAAGCTTCCCCCTCCCGATCGGCAGAGCGGCATATGGAGGGAACATACACCAACACACCAAATGAAAGTCCATGAAGAAAACCTCCACTGCACCGAAGAAATTCTCGCCACTCTCCATGAAGCAAGGTCATGACCAACATGGTACGCCCATGGAGGAGTAGAAAAACCCACGTCTCCTGGAGGAGCAGGGAAGACAGCTCGTCAAAGCACCGCAACACCAAACCGTGAGCATCACCACCTTTGAAGGGGAGAGAAGCCAAGTTGCGGAGAACAACAAGATTGAGTTGCCCCGACAAATGTGGCGAAGGGCACGCCCCTTAATTACCATGTGCCGAGCGCAGCCTCCGCCGCCTAAAAACCACAACAATCCAGGGGGCGCCACCATGACGTCCGACAAACCTTGTCAAAGTCATGGTCGGGTATGCACCAATATCAAAGGTGCCACACATACACGATCGCACCATTAGTCCTGACGTCATTGGCCTTGCATCGTCCCTGGTCATCGGTCTCCTTGCCCGGGTGGTGTCCATGGGAAATGCATGTACGAATGATACATCTTTGATGGATTCTTTGTCATAATCGGCTGAATGCATTGATGGTCATTTTGTCTTGTACTCTTCCAAGGTAGAACACTCTCAAAGGTCTATCAAGAGACGTGTGCTCCTTAGAACGTTTGACAAAGAGAAAAAATCACTACAGGTCCTCATACTTGTCGCGTTGGCCGCATTTCTCCTTGTACTTGCAAATACCCAAAATACAGTCCTACAACTTGTCTCAGGTGGTCGTCTACGGTTCAAAATATCATTTCCTCTATGTATCTGTTGACTTGGCGGTTGACTGACGCGTCCACGCGGGTTTTGACCGCCAGCTCATCACCAGACGCCCTGGGCGGGGGAATACGAGGTTTTTTTTTGCAAAAACGACGAATTTACGTTTGTCCCCCCGCCTGGTCGGACCGCGCCTCACCTGGCCGCATCTCTACACACCCACCTGGTCAGATCGACCACACGACACCACCTGGTCGGACCGACCGCACCGCACCGCACCTCTCCACACCCACCGCACCTATCCCCTCTCCTCTCCCGTCTCGAACCCTAGTCGACGTCGCCGCCTCCGCCGTCGTCGCCGCAGCCACCACCGCCTGGATCTGCTGCCACCTCTCACCGACAGCATGTCATCTGCGAGATCCTCTCGCTCCGGTGTGCGTTCTGGTCTGCGTGGCCACTCTGTTGAGGTGCCACTGGTCGGATGCCTCG